CTGGGGTAGTTGCTGCGTTATCTGGTTGGGTTCAGGTGCGACTCTTTTTTTTAATCTTTCATCCTAATTAGGTTCATTTTTGGTTCTTTCTGGTATTTAATGGCATATAACTCTTCTCCCATTTCTTGTGTGTAAATGTCATATAGGTTGACATTTCTTGGCTGTGACATATTGCCGTTTGAATTCAGAGAAGGCTTTCCAGTAGTTTGGCATCATTCAGCGAAGCAATTCCTAGCAATATGGCCTCTTTCTCCACAATTATAGTACTTAATACCGCATTTGGAGTCAGTCAGGGCTGGAATAGCCTATTTTAATTGAGACAGTGGCTAACTTCAACCCTGGCTTCCAATGTAGTGGTTAATTTTTTATAATTTGTTACTATTTGATGCATTTTATGTGTCAATACTTCGATGAGTTGGTTAGTAGGGTCTTTTTCTTTTCTTTTTTTATAGTTTTTACCAGCCTCTATTTTTCTAGCATTCTTAATAGCATCATCAAGGGTTTTTGGTTCGGCAATAGACATGAAGGCCGCAATTTTACTCTTTAGACCGCCAATAAACATTCTGACCACATAGGTTGGTGGTAATTTATTTTTTGGGTTGACTCTTTTTTGTAATCTTTTAAATTTGTATATATAAAGATCGACTTTTTCATCTTCTTGTTGAGTTAATAAATTTAGGTCCATTTGCCACCTATGACGCCTTTTTGGTGTAGTAAAATATTTAATGAATTCAGGGGCAAAGCTAGCTTCAGATTGGTCCTGATTATCCCAATATTGGAGGTCATCTTTATGATCATTATACCAGTTGGCTGCGATTCCAGACAGGTATTCTGATGCAATGGCAATTTTTCTTGGCTTGGACCAGTTATTCGCATTAGCAGCTCTTTCAAATGCCTTGATCCATTCAACAGGATCTTCGTCCTCAGTGCCATGAAATGTTTTTACTTGAACCCAGTTAGTTTCACGTCCCTGGTATGTATTTTCGGTATTATCTTCTTAAACAACCTCTGCTGCAGCATCTCGAAAAACCTTGGCAATGTTTCTCAGAATATGCTAAACACTTTCCTGGTGATTTGATGACGAATAAGCGCTAGTGGGGCTTTGGTTTCCGAAATTAAGAAGGTCTTGAGAGATTTCTGATGAATCACTGGGAGAGTTTGAAGGGTTTTCAAGGATAGATACTGATTTTGCCTTGTTTCTTTGTTGAGATATGTCTAGTACTTTTTAATATGTATAATTTGATTTTTGCTAATAAAAACTTTTTAGTATTTTTATTTTTATAGGTGTTAGGTATTATTTAGTTCGATCTCACAGTCACCACCAATTGAGAAATTGTGAGCTGTGTCAGAAAAAGGTGCTGGTCTAGATAGAACAACTCACTATACACCAACACTACTAAAACTATTCCACTATAACACTATTACTAGAATAACCAAACCCTAATAATGGTAAGGCAATGATTAAGGCGTAGAAAGATTTGGTCTGAGTAATCAGGTTTTATTAGGTTTATAGAGATGTGCCGTATTCAGATAGGTCTCTTTCAATTATCGTTTTTTGAGTTAGTCGCTACTGTTACTACTTTATTAACACTTGAATTCTTCGTTAGCAAGTACTACGGCTTGGTCACGTGATTGAAATTGACCAATCAGATTGGTGGTACAAAGTCACAGTATCATGAGATCACGATTTAGATATACGGTGCAAATCATCTAATCGCATCAAATATATTAAATATTTATGCCACTATGCAATAATGTTTAAGGAAATAATATTGATGATTATAACATATGACACAATAATTAATATATACACTTCAGAACAAATGCTAGTAGTTTCTAGAATATGCTATCTCAAAACAGTATCGCACAGGATATGTAGATTATGCCAATTTTCACATCAGGTGTTACAAATTAATGAAGTTACAATTAAGAGATTTTCGCAGTATTTGTTGATCATATTTATTTTTTCGTATGTAACAAAAACAATAACCTAATTTCTCGATATCAAAAATTTGGTAAAATACCAATTAATCAACAGTCATAAAAATGTATGCTTTTCTACTTTTTATTATTAATTAAATATTTGAAATGAGATAATATTTAATAGTCGAAAAAGCAACACTAAGCAGAATATGGGTACATATACTTGTAACTGTTACTACGTACGTATTACTGAAATCTTTGTTACTAAATCAACAAATGCAAAAGTAATACATATAAAAAAGCATTCTAAACGTATCAAGATCGTATATAATCAACTTTACAATTCAATGTAGTTGTATGAATTAAGATTTCACACCATGGAAATCTAAAAACATTTTCAATTAAGTTAAAAATCTGTTAAAATTACTTGATCAGACAAATATTTGATTTACCACACATATTATTTACTCAATTTCTATATCAGCTTTCCATCAACAATAACATCGAAGTTTGTTAAGCTCTTTTCTTTGTTAACAACATATTTGTATTTTGGATGACCTAAAATAAAATATATACGTATTCAATAAAATCTCACCTTATTCAAAATATATATACATATCACAATTATTACCTTTATGCATTACGGTTACAAATCTTTTAACTTTTTTTTTGTCTGTACTTATGTACAGAAAATCATCAACCAATTATCATGCTTAATAAAAAGAAACACTTTCCATTTTATCTTACCATAATAAAAACTAAAAATTATTATAAATAACTACGTATAAATCATCATTGTGTGCATATAAGTTAAGAAAAAACAATTATTAATTGTGGCAATACAAACCTACAAAGTAGTATCGATACGACTGACCTTTGTAAAATACCAGTACATTGCCTATAAAATTTGTCCTTAACTTATTAATACCATGGCATATTATTATATTGCAGATTACACATTATAATATAGCAGTCTCAGAATCGTACTTTATATACTGTTCTAAAAGATCAAGTATATTCTTTTTATCTAGATACGATTCTTTAATGTGGTCAATAAAACTGAATTTGGGAACTTTTGTACTAATTCTCTTGCAAAGCAGGATGTACGTACAGTACATACGTATACCAAAATTAAATGCAATAATTAAAACAAAAAATATTACGAAACTGGTTAATCTAGTACGTACCTTTCGAGTTGACATAATATTTACCAAACGAATGCATTGTATTACCCTTTTGGTAAACCACATCATATTTATAAATAGCAACATTGGATATCTACTTTTGCAAATTATAACTTTGATCTGCAAAATAAAAAGGCTAGTTATTATAACTATAAATAATTAATACCATATTTAAGCGAATTAACTTCCATGGGCGTTAATTAGAGACATGCAATTTAAAGAAAACTAGTAATTAATTTAATCAAAAACTTTTAATAACAATAAGCTAAACTCTCAATCGCACTCAGCTAAATTAATTATTAGTTTTTTTTAAGTTGCATGTCTCTAATTAATGTCCATGAGCATTAATTCGCGTAAATAAGATAACCACAAATCAGAACTATACATATAGGTATATATGTATATACGTATTAACATACTGTGTATGTCTGTTTTTAGTAAAATTTTGTTTAAATTCTTTCAAACATTCATAAATCTCATTAAAATTGAACACTGAACCACCTAGTCTTGAAGACTTTTCATCAGATAATTGCATATCCTGAATGAATATATATTTCAACAAAGATCAAACCTATTTAGCATATAAAAATATTGTAGAAAAAAATCTCTTAAAAGCTATAAACACTGTTGTTTCAAATGTCAGAACGCGTTTACGGATTGCTTTGGCTTTTTTTTACTGTCCACCTATTCTAGTAAAATATTTATTTATAAAGTACGTATACGTTATTAATTCACATAACAAGTAAATTATGTCAAAATTAATGCTAAGTAAATAAGAATACCTCAACCAATGATAGTTATTTAAATACTGATTTATTTTGCCTCTATTTAGATGATAACATGTCGCATTGTCCTTTCCGATCTTTTTGGAAGAAATCAAATAGTAGAATATCTCAAGATATTATTGTCTAAGAACTGTTTCTTATAAATACAATATAAACATTAATTACTAAGTGTTAAGGTACGTATTAAAGATGTGTATTTTCAATAATAAATTTAAATACTTTGGGAACTCCCTCAAAGGTGTTTACTGGCAAAGATTCCATATTGTATTTTCAATTCATAACCAGATATCTTTATGATAGTAAAACACACGATTTTTGTATTTTGCATTGGTAGTTATATAGAAATTAGCCAGAGCAATATGAATGCCATAAAATAAATTTAATGACCAAAAATTTAAATCTGAGAAGTACTAATAATTTGAATTCTCTTACTTGAAGCAGCGGGATAACAAAGCAATCAAATATCTATCAGATAAATTCATATAATATTTTGGATCTCTTATCAGCTTCGACTTTGTTATTTTTATTGCCCTACGCAAAGAACCACTTGCACTGCTTAATCTTAAATTCAATAATAAATAATATTTGGAACTATGTAGTAAGATATGTGTACGTAAATACTTTAAATTTATTCAAAACATAGTGTAGCGAGAGTTCTTCGTAATACCTAAGCATGATAAACTTTTCTACAGCTAATATTAAAACAATAATAATAATAATACATAATAATAACGAGGATAATTCAAATATTACGTATCGGTATTTGTTTTATATTTAGCAAATATATTGGATTATTTATT